GTCCTGCCATCTCCCTGCCTCTGTCTGTCACACAGGGCCTCCCTAACCACTGAAGGCCCCATGCCTTTGCACATGCATGCTGGTTGCCTTCTCTCCAGTGTTCTGCTAGACCACCACTTTCCTGCCAGACAAATTCAAACTCATCCTTTAAGTCAACAGTGAACCACTAAACATACATACCATTCAGCTATGACCTTTGGAGTACAGCCCCTGCCGCTGGCAGAGGTTTATGGCTGAGTCTTTCTGTCCTGCACATGTCCATGAGTTCTCCCAGGACTCCTCTGTTAGGTGTTTCCACTGTGACTCCTCAGACTTGGGTGATGGATTCTGTTTCTCCAGCTGACATCCCCTCCCCTCTGCCTGACTCTCTGGTGGGGGAGCCCATGCAGACTTCACTGATGGAGAGCTCTCATTTTACCAGAGAGGATCTTTGGCAGGACTTCAAGTGGCTCCAGCTTGATTCTCTCTTTCCTTTACTGTGTATATGTCATTCACCTTTGTCCCCACAAACTCTGGGACTGAAGGCCACGTGGATCCTGCTGCCACAGGCCACTTTTGCTTTGCTTATAGACATCAATCTATAGCAGCCCCAATATGGGGATACCTATCAATCTCTCACCGAACTTAGGGGCAACTGGGGGTGGTATGAAGATTCATAGCCTAAGAAAAGGTCCCTTTAGTGGAAGTCTTCTCACAAATCCTCCCACCTTCCTTACACTCTCAAATATTTTATGATCTACAAGTAAAGGTGTGTATATTTTATTTGTAAATTTTCCATATTTAGTAGATCATACTTTGGCACCCGATATGTATCATATCATGAGGAAGAGTCCCATTGTAATATCCTGTACATCTAGATAAAACCTGCAAAATAGAGCAGTTTCTTAAACACATCTCCATTTTAGAGAAGCTATATTTAATATTATTACTTCTATGAAGAATCAATACTCAATGATTATTTCAGAATAAACGTTAAAAGTCATGGTAAAATAGGTGTATTCAAGATCTTTTAATGTCACAAAGCCAATAACCAGATACATAGCTTTACAAAGGGTATGTAACATGAAACCCCCTTATGGAGGAAAGTGAAATAAATCCTGAATACTCCATTTCACTCAACTAGAACTTATCTCATTCCTCAACAGTTCCAAGATTTTAAAAATCTATTTCCAATTGCTAAGAGATAAATGGTAAGAAGTTATTGCTTGAGTTTTTGGATAGTTTGTTTGTTTGTTCCAAAATGCAGTCCTTTCAAAGCACGCTCTAGGGAGTACACAATCCCTCCTTTGTCTACCAGGTAGGGCAGAAGCAGTGAAATAGCTATTCTCAATCATTTATTTCTGCTGAAATAAATATGGGGGGGTAATGTTCACGCTGATTACATATACTAGAATTTACTCAAGCTTTGGCATGTTACCTCTCTTTATACATTCCCCCTCCTTTTCTTTACACTTAAGAAAGTATGTTATTGATTAAGCCAGAATCCAACCTAGTTTTTTTAAAAAGCACTAAATTACACTTAAACTTTATGCTATTACTAACAAATTACTTCTGTCATATCCCAAGTCAAACCATATCAGTATCAGTATTTCACACTCTGTTTGAGAACCATTGAATTAGAATACCCACTACCATAAAAGGTCTGAAAAAATATTTTGGCCAGGATGCTTTTCTCTGTGATAAATAAGAATCACCATTAAGTCTTTGGAGGTAGACTCCTATTAAACAGAACATCATGATAACTCCTTGAAACTAGTTTGTGTTCTCTTGGCCACCCATACATCTGTTTCATGATACTCCACAACCATATTGCTAATAGTGTTAAGAGAATGTGAACAGAAATTTGTGAAATGACCATCTGGGGTGTTCAGAGGGACACCTCCAACACACAGATCTGTTTGTTGGCCCTAAATGAGTAGCAGTGTGTACCATTGCAGAAAGACTGTATCACCTTAACCTAGCCATTGATCCACTGACCATTCATTCATTCTCTCTTATTCATTCAAAAATACAGTTGTTGAGAAAATCTATCCTTTCAAAGAGGTACTATCTGAATAGTAATTCCTTTACCCTCTTTTTTCCCCAGGTGTGTAGTTGTTGAGAGCACTTGCTTACAAATTCTCTGTTTCAAATTATTTGCTCAAGCTGAAAATTTTTAACATTTTATTTTTCCTTTTCTTTAATGGTAATCTTATTGATAAAATAGCATTACTAACACCTCTAGTAGTAATTAACAAAACATATTGAAAGGATTTTTTTTGATGCAAATCTTTTTTTGTTCCTAACAGTTCACTTAAGCAAAATGTTCTTATTTTCTTTCCACCTTGTGTTTTAAGTAATTGAATGAATTCCCAGAGAGTATTTATGAACTATCTGAATACAATTGTTATTCACTATGATTGTCAATCATTATCTGAATACAATTGTCATTTTTCTAGAATTGTATTATTTTCCCTATTTAGTACAAAGTCATGCTCTAATGTGTGAGCTATTGGAGTAAGATATGACACATATTAACATTCTAAACTTAAATTTTCTTTCCTTTTTTTGCTGAGGATTTAGGTCATTTCCTAGAGATAGTGGAGAGCTGTCATGGAATCACATGAAAATTTCTTATTTATTCTTTTAAAATTGATTCAGTTTCCTATTTATTTACCATCATATGACATATATTTGTCCCACAGTATTTAAAATACCATTAGAAAAAATATTTTCACAGTTTATAAAATTGATTTATATCTAATAATGATTAACCATGAGTTTATTTCCATCTTTTTCTCCTCTTTATTATGCTTGGTGAAAGACTTCCAGGGTGACTGCAGACTCCAAAGGTTAAAAACATCTCAAAACATATTACTCACCTACCATGACCTTTTTATTAGGGGTTACTTGATTAGCTCCAGGTCATACAATTAGTTAGATAGTTAGAGAACCTCACTGGAAGCCCAGTCTCCCAACACTGGGCACTTTCTCATGAGCCCTGATGTGAAACCTGGATTTTGGACATCCCAGTAGAGTCCGATGCCTTTTCCCTGTAACCTGTCACTTCTCTAAAAGAATAGAACATAACTGATCCTCAACATCTATGTGAATTAATAATATCCAAGTATGACAGAAATCTGAAAGTATCCTTAAAACATAATTTAAGAAAAAAATCTATAACAAAAAGTTAATGACTTATTATATAACAATAAAAAGAAACCAATTTTTTAAATTAAGTGTTTTTATCTACATTATTTGGACATTGTAATTTAATGTTGTCACAGAAAAATGATTAACCATTGTAGAAGCTGTAATACATTGTGAAATAAAGAGTAAGATTATCTTCATGATTGTCTTCTTAAAAGCACACTTTCTCCACACCCATAGGCTCTCTTTCGGACGGTAGCAATGATGGTACCTGACTATGCCATGATTGCTGAAATAGTCCTGTACTCCTGTGGGTTTGTCACAGCTCGGCCACTGTCAGTAAAAATTGTGGCTACGTATCGCTTGTGTTCAGAGCAGCTGTCATCGCAGCATCACTATGACTATGGCATGAGGGCTGTGAAGTCAGTGCTCACCGCTGCTGGGAACCTAAAGGTAGAGAACTCAAGTTGTTTCTTTCTCATAAACTTCCTATTTATAAATCTCAGGACCATGTTTCTCCAAAGAGTTCCAATACCTGGTGGGTTTCATCAACTGAAAAAAATGCAGTTGTTATATTAAAAAATTATTATTTGCACACTTAAAAAAGAGAAATTTTATGATTTGTAAAGACCTTAGACATACAATTCTTAGTGATTTGTGCTCTCTTCTATAATTTCAAATATATGAAACTAAGTACTATGAAGAAATGTAATTTCTGGCTTCTGCAAAATTTTTGAAGGCTTTCAGTCTATGTAAATATGTATAGCTTTAAAATTATTCCAGTGTATAGTTAATAAATATATACAAAAGTCCCTAACTATTGTTACTCAATATAATTACACAGTTGCAGCCAACTATAGACTAGCAGTATTAGATTTGCAATATAATGTTTGCATCTTAAAATGGCATAAATCATAACTACATAGATGAAAAACCCAAATATTTTAAGACTTGGATAACTTTTCTTTGAAGGTATTTTATAGAATCCTGAAATACAAGTACATTAGTTCTTTTTCAAAGCAAGCAAGATAGGCTGTGGTTAATAGCAAAATGCAAAATATGACCTTGGAGTTTATAAAATTTTCATGCTCATGATTTGTAGAAGATAAAGAATTTAAAATACATCCTACATGATTAAGAACAATGGCATACATTTTTATCTTCTATAATAATGGTACCAAGAATTCTCATAGTGGTGGTACTCTATTTTACATTAGACCAATGTGACTTAAAGTCATTGTGGGGTTTTTTTTGCAATAAACAGATGCAACCAGAAGCAACAATTTGTCTTAACCTGGTACGTTATGATTACATTGTAGTCAGATAATGGGAAAGATAATGCATTGTCCTAGTGTGTGTCATCACTGACATCTTGACTATGGAACTGAGCTATTAAAGTTACGTAGCAAATGAATCCTGCAAATGAATCCTGTCATTCTTTTCAAAAGCTAATTCAGGATTGTTTAATGTGTTGGCATGAATGTTTTAAAGTTTGTTTCCATTACATCAAGAAATAAACATTTGCTTTAAAATAATAGCCTCTAAAATAACAAAACAGACTTCTGACATTTCGTAATTTATGTGTGCCTAGATTGATCCAAAGAAAGAGAGAGTCCATATGAGCAGGACTAGTCTTAGCATCGGGAGCAATAGTGACTCAAGAGACATCTGAACTTGACTACCAGGTGTCACTAATTTGTAAGGTTAAAGCCAGTTAAATAGGGACATGGAATTTATTAGGCAGAAAGATTCTAGAGAAAAGCAAAAGGGTTCTGTAAAATTGCATGATGGCTGGAGAGACTTTGGAATGAGATGTGGAGTAAAGTATTGAAGTTGGGAGATATAATTCTGAATTTAGATTTTTGTGAATTACGTGAACCTATGAGCAACAGGTCAGAGTTCAGCTAGATTTTTAGTAAACTTTGGGATTACCACACTGTTTTGAAATATCAGTTTTCTAAAACACTCTCTACTTAAATGACAGCATATTAACCAGCCCTCTTCACTCCGTGGAACACAAACACACGCCCCTGCTGGCAGGCAGCCAGCATTGCAGGACTGCCCTGCCCTCATTTTCTACCCGATGAGCTATGTTCCTACCCAGTCAGTTTGCTTGTTCCTTGAATTTTCTGAAACCAGTTTGCATGGTGCTGTCTCTACATCATTTAATTAAATGTCAATGAAACTGATGATATGTGAACATGAAAATAAGAGTTTTCTTTTTATGAAAACTAGGTTTATTGTTTAAGAAAGATTCAGTGTAGATGAAATGCTAAAAAACTGACAAGTGTGGATAAGAAAAGTAAATAAGACTTAAAAAAACCTTAAAAATTGATAAGGATGCTACACTTAGATTGTATTACAAGTATCTCAAAAAGCACAATCCCCTTTAAAACAAATGATACCAAAAAAAAATTTGTTTTCAATTAAAAAGTGGGCAGAGGACCTGAATAGACATTTTACCAGAAAATACTTGCAGATGGCCAACAGGCACATGAAAAGATGCTCAATGTCACTAACCATCAGGGAAATGCAAATCAAAACCACAATAAGATACCACCTCTCACCAGTTAGAATGGCTAGTATCAGCAAGACAAGAAATAACAATTGTTGTCAAGGATGTGGAGAAAATGGAACCTTCAGCATTGCTGGTGGGATTACAAGTTGGTGCAGCCACTATGGAAAGCAAGTTGGAGGTTCCTCAAACAACTAAAAATAGAAATGCCATTTGGCCCAGAAATTCCACTTATGGGAATTCAGCTGAAGAAAACAAACTCTCTAATTTGACAAGATATATGAACTTCTGTGTTTATTGCAGCATTATTAACAACAACCAAAATATGGAAACAACCTAAGTGTCCATTGGTAGAGGAATGGATAAAGAAGATGTAGTGACCTATATACAATGGGATATTACTCAGCTGTAAAACTGAATGAAATCTTGCCATTTGCAACAGTGTGGTTGGACCTAGAGGGTATTACACTAAGTGAAATAAGTCAGAAAAACAAAAACCATATGATTTAATTTATATGTGGAATCTAAAACAAAACAAATCAACAAACAAAATCAAAATAAACTCACAGAGAACAAACTGGTGGTTGCCATAGGGGAGAGGAGTGGGGGATGAGTGAAATAAGCGAAGTTGGGGGAGATTGGAATGTTTGATATTTTATTCTGGGAAGTAGTTAGAGAAGTGTGTATATATGTCAAACTTCATCAGGCTGTACACTAAGCCTTGTGCATTTTATGGTATGTACCTCAATATGAAAAACTAAAAAAAAAAACAGTATACATCAAAACAGAGCAGATGATGCATTATTGATATGTTTTTTACAAGAAAAATGGTGCAGAATTCTACACTCAGAGAAAAGCCTTGGCTTCAAAATGTGGGCAAATGAGTGGATGTTTATATTTTTAAGATTTAAATGTATCTTTTAAAAATGATTGCCAACTTTTAATGATTTTCACTTAACCCACTGCTGCTCTTGCATGCACAGGGCAAACAAGCCCTTACCTAGTACAGAGGCAGTGCAGCTCTCAAACTGTATTGAATTCACAGCCAATAGTTTTTTTACCCTGAACATCTGTGAAAAGGTAGTTCAACCCAGGTTTTCATTATATACTAGTAGAAAATTTATCTAGTATAAATGTTAGTTTCTAAAATTAATAATCCAGTTCAGTGAATAAGTAAAAACAACAATTTAGCATGGGTTTAAGTTGTTCCTTGGGCCTGTATGCTTGTGTATAAGAGAGCAAACAGGGTGTGCAGTCAGTAGATGCAAATATCATCAGGAGTACATTTTCTTTCAGCTTAAATATCCAAATGAAAATGAAGAAATTTTGCTGCTTAGATCTATTATTGATGTAAATCTGCCAAAGTTTTTGTCCCATGATTTGCCACTTTTTGAGGTAAGAACATTCATTATTCCAATGTATCAAAACTCTTAAAATAATGTGCTTATTGAAGGTCCAAGTTTACAACTCCCTGCAAGATGCTTCCAATATAAAAAGTGATATGTGCCATTCCATGTTTTATTTGAAGTGTATTTAGCTAGCCTTGTTGTTTTGGATCACTTTCAACAATTTAGGATTATTTAATAGTACTCTCTTTTTTGGGACCGGGAAGCAAAATATAGTGAGCTCACAGAAGTCACAAAATATGTTTGCTTGTAAATTGCACTAGAATGGGAAGGAAAGTAACAGGTCTAAGGTGCACTGAATCCCTTGCATAGAATAGGTATTTAGTAAATATATTAAATTAACGATTGAGGAAATTATTTTACAAGCTTAATTTCTTTGAAAGAGTGCAATGACTTTCATGAAACTGTTTTTATGAAATTGTTCCTTCAGGATAATATAAGATAAGCAATTTAAGATTATGGTGAAAAGTTTCAGTATTACCATTTGATGTCATTCTTTTCTCAGAAGAAATTGGGGCCAGGGCCTTCTAATTGCCACTGCTTGAAGTACAGGCAGTTAGTTTCCCCACGTGTAAAGACCAAAGTTACAACTGTCTGTGTGGGGGTGGGGGTGGGGATCCACCCTGCCCCGTAGTGTGGTCCTGTGTCATTAGCTATCCAAAGCACCCCTATGTTATCATTCTCAATGGGGCTTTCCTTAGTATTCACAGCTGGCAGTGCAAATATTGTATAAAACAAATCTATAAGGAATAGGTTCAGATTTTCTTCCTAAAATGTTTCTTCATTTTCCTTGGTACTAGTAGACTGTATAGATTTTCCAGGAATAAGAGCATTATTTATTTATATGTGGGTATTTTTTATAGAGTGGAAAAAACTACCTCTCCAGAGATATCCTCTTGTAGTTGTATATTCATTCAGCGAATATGTGTGGAGTAATATTTCACAAATGGGTCATAATTGCCATTCTTAATTAGGACAATTCCTTGTTGTAATAGGCTGTCCCATGTACTGCAGACCATTTGGCATCTCTGCCCCCCAAACCCTACCAAGTGTCTCTGGACTCCTCTCACTGTGACAATGAAAAGACAACATATTTTCAGCTCTTTGTGGTGGGAGAATGGTCATGGCTGAGAGTTGTCCTCTTCTTTAGAGGATAACCATAAATGGAATAGTATAAGAAGATATTTTTGTTTATTTAACAAACACTATGCACTTACTGTGGACCAGGCACTATTTTGTAAGGGCTTTAAAATAATCACTTCATGCTCATAGTAAGCCAGGGGGACAGGTGCTCTCCCTGTCCCTGTTTTACAGAGGTGACTGAGGCCCAGAGGGCTAAGTACCATGTACTGCAGTACACGGGGAAGGGGGTTTCTGCCTCAGCAAGGCTGCAGTGTGCTCGTAACCGTTCTCCTGCACGGCCTTTGTCTCTCCTTTGCTGTGAGGAAACTTATTGCTTTGATGAACTGATACCAGTTTCTCCATAACAATATTTAAATAATTAAATGCAGGGGTAATTAAACTGGTAATTCATAAATTCTGAAGTACAGCTCAAATGTATGCTTTCACATTTTGCAGTTCTTAATGTTTACTTTTCCCTTCAGAGTGAAAAGAAGTCATATTTGTCACATAGGTTGCTGTAATACTTATAAATTAGCCTTAGCAGTTTATAAAGTAATGTTTCTTAGACCATGAAATTAACTTTATATATTCATATGTACACTAAATATGGAATGATATTGCTTTCCAATCACATAATTACATAATTGTATCTGTTTCCTATAATTTCCACACAAAGCACCCCAAACTTGGTGGCTTAAAAACACAGAAACTTGTTCTCTCCTGTAACTCTGAAATCAAGGTGCTGGATCCCACGGAAGGCTTAGGAAAGACACCTTCTTTCTCATCCCCTGTTGGCTACTGGCAACCCTTGATGTTCTTTGGCTTTGCTTGGCATTACTCCAATCTCTGCCTCCGTCATTACACAGCATTCTTCCCTTTGTGTCTTTGTATCTGAATCCTCCTCTTTCTCCTATAAAAACACCAATCATTGGATTTAGGACCCAATATGATCTCATCTTAACTTATCTGATTATATCTGCAATGGTCCTTTTTTCCAAATAAGGTCACATTCTGAGGTGCTGAGAGGACATGAGTTTTTGAAGGACAATAAACTGGTGAAAATACTACCCACTACAATGATTAAAATACCTTTGAACTAATTTTTAAATATATGAGGTACGGCTTGAGTTAATTATTTTGGCAAATCCAGGTTTTCTAACATCATTTGTTGAAAACTACCTCATCTAGTGTCTGCTAAATTGTCTTTGTCCCTTTGTTGAGAATGAATTGTTTGTGTGTGGGATCTGTTTCTGGGTTCCCTATCCAGTTTTATTGATATATTTTTCTATCTTTATATTAGTGTGACACTGTCTTTATAATAAGCTTTGAAATCAGCATTCATCCTCCAACTTTTTAACTCAATTATAAAATTAAGTTAAAAATTTTAAATTATAAAATTTCTAGAGGAAAACAGGAGAAATCCCTTGTGATTTTGGATTGGGCAGAAATTTCTTAAATATGACACCAAAAGCACAATGTATAAAACAATTGATAAAACAGACTCTCAAAATTAAAAAGTTTACTCTTTGAAAGACACTAGTAAAAGAATGAAAGAATTTTCAGACTAGGAAGAATATTTGCAAATTAGATATATGATGGATTTGTATGCAGCATATTTAAAGAATGGTCAAAGCTTACCATTAAGAGAATAAACCAGTTAAAAATAGGCAAAAGATTTGAACAGACACCTCCCTAAAGAATATATACATATGGTAAAAAGGCACATGCAAAAATGCTAGTCATTAGGAAATGCAAAACTGAAGCCACAGTAAGATACTGTTACACACCTATTAGTATGGCTAAAATAAAAAAGACTAATCATATCAAATATTGGAATCCTCATATACTGCTGGGGGGAATGTAAAATAATGCAACCACTTTGGAAAGCAGGTAGTTTCCTAAAATGTTAAACACATGACCACCATATTCTCCAGGTATCCCTCTCCTCAGTATTCACCCAAGAGAAATGAAAACAGTTGTCCATTCAGAGTTGTACAAATGTTCATGGCAGCTTTATTTGTATTAGTCAAAAACTAGAAAGAAAGAAAATATCCATCAGCAGAGGAATGAATCTAAAAACTGTAGCACTTTAATACAATGGAATACTTCAATACAGTGAACTCTTGATACATGCTGTGATATGTGGATTTCCAAATCTTTATGCCACCTGAAAGAAGCCAGAGCCAAAAAAAAGTAGTACACATAATGGTTAATTTCATCTGTATTAAATTTTACACAATACATAAAAAAAATAGTAACAGAAAGCAAATCAGTGGTCACCTGGGGATGTAGGTAGGAGGTGGCAAGAAGGGGAGGAAGGGAGGCTTGTAACAAGTTACAAGGAAACTTTTGGGACTGATGAAGATGTTATCTTGACCGAGTTGATGGTTTCACTTATCAAATTGTACACTTTAAATATATATAGTTCATTGTATATTAATCATACCTCTATATAGCTATTAAAAATACTATTGAGCTATTATTTAATGGCTCTGTTTCTATCAATATTAAATATGAGAATAGAGAAACATTTGTATGTGTATGTGTATGTATATATATACACATATATATGCACATATATGTAAACATACATATATGCAGAGAGAGAACTTAAATAATGTAAATCCCTAAATCGTCTATCATCAGGGAATTACTTCAGATTTGTTTCCTGGAGTGAAGTTACCAAAACCAGACTACAATGATTTGCTAGTAGCTATCAAAGACAACTGTGACTCCATGAATTTGCAAATGACCGGATTCTTTTCTGAGAAGATTCTTCAAATATATGAGATGATGATTGTACGTCATGGTTTTATGATTGTTGGAGAACCATTTGGAGGAAAAACCAGTGCATATCGTGTCTTAGCTGGAGCATTAAATGATATATGTGAAAAGGTAAGTGTGTTATTAATGCATTAATTTATTTATAATCAGCTTTGTGCAAAATAGAAAGTATGCTTTAATGCAGCAATTTATAACCATGAAAAGTAATGAGTCAGAGAAAATACAGTTAGAGAAGTAATATGAAGCAAGTAGCAAGTCCAGCATAAGGGGTATGCCACAGATTTGCCTCGCAACTTTTTCTTTAAAATTTTTTAAATTATAAAGTTAATACGTGTTCTATGTAGAAAAAGTCTAAAACTGTGAAAAATAAACCAGTGGTTTTCTTTTCATACTTTTCAGAGAGTGTATTTTATTTTTTGGGTGGTTAGATTTACTACTGACTGCCAGTGGTATGAATTGAAATGTGTGTGTATTAGATAATACATACATAGGTACATGTGCATAATAATAATTATTATATTATTCAAAATTCCTGACCTACACATCACAATTTGGTCTGCTTTGATATGCTAAAGCAATGAGACTGTTGTAAATTCTCCAACTAATACTGCCTTTCTGTCTACTTCTCCTTGTACTTCGAATAGTTTTTGCTTCACATATTTCAATGTTTGCGGCCTATACAAGGTTTGTAATCCTATCTTCATTGTGAAGTCTCACTAGCTTTGCTGCATTTGGGACAAAAACTGCTTTGGCTGCAGCAATTTTATCCTAGAGGTTTCCCATACTTCTGAATTTAAGATGACACATTGCTGTCCTCTTCCTAACTGGGCATGGAGAAGACAGCAAAGACCTTGAGCTTATCTTACTGCTTCATGCTTTTACTCCCTCATCTTTTCTTCAGTTAGGTAGTTTGTATCCCAAGTTGTGGAGGTAGCGGGTGGAAGGCAGTGTTGGGAAGAGTTGAACTTGTCATGTTGTTATATATGAAAAGGAAAGATTATGAACAGGTGGAGCACCATGGATTTTTAGGTACTGAAACTATCCTGTATGATACTGTAAGGATGGATACATGATATTATCCATTTGGCCAAACCCATAGAATGCAAAATACAAAGAGTGAAACTAATGTAAACCATTAGTTAATAATAATATGTTAATTTCAGTCCATCAGTCACAACAATGGACACACCAATGCAAGACTTTAATAATAGGGGTAACTGTGTTGGGGTGACAGGGAGTGCCCAGAAGGAATATATGTGAATCTCTGTAGTTCTCAATTTTTCTGTAAACCTAAAGTTACTCTAAAAAATATAAGCCCTGTTAATCAAAAACATAAAAAAAGCCTATGCCCCAAGGGTATTAATATCTCTTGCATAATTCCATACACCAGCTTTCCAAGTTCTGGTCAATACTGACAACTCGCCAATATTAACTTTTCTACTTTGTGAGAATGGTATGTATTTCCCTATATTTAGATCTTTTAATTCTCTCCCAGAAGATGTTTTGTAGCAGGAGTCAGCCAGTTAAAGCCCATGGACCAAATTTGGCCCAAAGCCTGTTTTTATAATGCCAATGAACTTAGAATAGTTTTAACAATTTTAAGGTTTGTTAAAAAAAAAATGAAAGAAAAGATGAATATGTGATGCACCAAATGTAAACTGCAAAGCCTATATGTAATGTTTACTATCTGACCTTTTACAAAAATATTTGCCAACCCCCATTTTGTGCAAGTTTTAGATTTATACATCTTGCACAATATTTGCTAATTTGTTTCTAAGAGTTATGAGTGTTTAATATTATATTAAGTGGTATTTAAAAATTTTTATTTTTTAATTGTTCATTGGTGTTATATAGAAAATACAGTTTTTTTATATGTATGCTGGAACCTTGATAAATACACCCCTTCAGGTAGTTTCTTTGTAGTCTTTAGGATTTTCTGCATACACAATCATGTTTTCTGTGAATAAATACAATATTCTTCTACATAAATAAATGGGTTTTTTTTTCCCAATAAGGGGTTAATGGAAGAAAACAAGGTTCAGATTATTGTTTTAAACCCTAAGTCTGTCACCATGGGTCAGCTGTATGGACAGTTCGATGTTGTGTCCCACGAGTGGTCCGATGGAATCCTTGCTGTCAGTTTTAGAGCATTTGCTTCTTCAGCGGTAAGTACCCGGACTTTTACATGCATATTTGGTAAGATAATTCTTTCTGACCAATTACTGATTTATTTTCAGTTGCTTCAAACATTTTGTGGCTCAATGTATATATTTTAAACACATTAATGGGTAGTCTGGCAGTGTATCTGTGAAGAACAGTGCTGCAACTAACAACAATGGCAGAGTCCACGCCGCCCGCACCTTTGCCCTGGTGTGTACAGAAGAGAGGGGAGGGGACAAGAGGACGGGGGAAGTATTTCTGGTTCTCTGTTTTCAGGCTAACTGACCCAGGAAGGGGAGCAGCTGAAGGACAGGATCCATCCTCTGCTTCCGTATCGTGCTGCCATTGCTCCCCTGGGGCTGCTGCCTCTGATGTACTCCGGTGCTTAGAGAGAAATTGCAGACCTTTGCAAAACGTTGCCTTAAAGTTCTAACACTTTTACCTCTAGCGTGTTTGGAAAAGAATGGGCTGCCTGTGAAAGCACGAGAGGCAAGGGATGTGCCAGCTGCTGACGTGAATGGGAGTGGGTGCTTCCCTGGATGGTGCCGTGTGACTGCCGCCAACTCTTACAAAGTGTCCACAGACCAATAAATATTAACTTGGTTGCCATATGTCAGCAGGCTCTCCATCCAGTATGATCACGTAGGTGACAGTTGGCTAAGGCTGGTCTTAAAGGAAAAGGGGCCTACACTGGAGGCATTTAATTTATTGGTTGGATCTTTTTATTTTATATAAATGCTTCCTTTATTCTGACTACCATACATCCTAAATTTGGTGCTTTTTACTCACTTAAGGACCCAGCTGATCATGATTCATAAGTCATTGTAATGACTAGAAAAACATAAAAATCTCATCTCTGTTCTTACCCACTGAAGGATCTTGGACAGTGAGTAACACAAGGATTGGCTCTCATGGGGCAGAGATCTTGCCCAGTATCAGGCTTTACTAGTAATGTCAAGGATAAAAGTAATCATGAAGCACAGGCAGGGCAGACAGAGGTCTGCAACCATTGACTTCTCGGGTCTTCTCTTGTCACAGTGGATGCACTCTGACCCAGATTAACATATGAAGTCTCAAGATAATATATGCAGTCACGGGATACAGAAATAATCATGTGATATCTCCCATTTTATACTCAGTTATATAGATTACATTACATTTTCCAGGAAGCTTTGCCCCGCAAATACTGAGTCTCAGAGAGGTTAAGTAGCTAATCAAAGTCATATTGCAGGTAAGTATTAAAGACAAATGACAAGTGATGGGAAACCCACTATTTCACCATTACACGCAGTGTTTCTCAAAGTGAAGAGCCCCAGGGATGGGAAGCCACCAGGGAGAGGAAAAGTTGACCTCCAGGTAATCTCTGGGATATGGGCTCCTCCTTACTTTCTAAGTGCAGCCAGAGCTGGCTGCTGAGGAGTGTGGGTGTGGGTGGCCTGACCCCACGGCAGGCCCACTGTCTTGTAGGGTTGTGCAATTGGTTGCAAGGCCTGAGAATGTGTTAAGATGGATTCACACCCTTCACTGCTTTAACTTGAGTTCACATTTGCTGAAGGTGAACCAAAGCATCATCTGTGTGCACAAAAAGGCTGATTCATAAGGATCTGGAAAGAAGAGTCAGCTTTTGTATTCTCTGGCTTGGCTAATACCTGGCTACTTCTTAATATTTATGGAGCATTTACTGTATTCCAGACAATGTGCAAATATTTTCATATTTGTCAGTGTGGGACTGTGAATATTATATTGATACTAATGTCCTGTATCACCACGAGACAATTCAGCCCAAGAAGAGGTGTGTATATATGTGAATTCATTCATTCAGTGGAGGAAAGAAAAAATTTGACCAGAGTAATTGACATGAGTAATCGATCTGTGTGTACACAATACTATAAGGAGTTAGATAATCCAAATGAAAATTGTTTTCCCTGGCAATTATAATTTCTTACTTATAGTACTTTGTAAAACATGTTATATAAGAGTTCAGAAATGGGAGAAGATGGAATCTTAGGAAAAGCTGCTGTATTTCTGTCTTGTGTGTGGCATATACAGGGTTCTGTAATGACTGTATATACACACATGAATGCACACACATGAACACTTATTCAAAAGATGCCTTTACATTTTCAAGATAAATTAATTTTAGGAGTTACATTTTTAAATTATGAAATCATGCTATCGAGCTGTTTCCTTTCATTATCATTATTTCATTTTTTCCCCCTTATTCACCAGACCCCAGATAGAAAATGGTTAATTTTTGATGGGCCAGTAGATGCAGTATGGATTGAGAATATGAATACTGTGCTGGATGACAACAAAAAGCTATGTCTGATGAGTGGTGAGATTATTCAGATGTCACCACAAATGAATCTTATTTTTGAGCCAATGGATTTAGAAGTTGCTTCTCCTGCCACTGTAAGTTCTCAATGTTTGACATCTACTTAAAATTTGAAATTTTACGAATGCTTTTATCACTTAGTAACTTTGACTTTAAATGAAAAATACTGGTAGAATGATTTAAATCATTAAATCATATAAAATTAAACTTTTTTTCAAGAGTTTTCTGAAGGTCATAAAAAATAAATGTACTATGTCATATTTCTTTTATAAGCATGGCCTTAATGGTAAACAATTATTGTTTTTCCAGGTTTCCAGATGTGGTATGATTTACATGGAGCCTCACATGTTAGGCTGGAGACCACTGATGCTGTCTTGGGTAAATCTTTTACCTGCTGGGATCAGTACTGTTCAGAAGGAATTCATAATAGGCTTATTTGACAGAATGGTTCCTGTTTCTGTCGAATTTATTAGAAAGCATACAAAGGTAAGGGGAATGTAGATTTAAAAATTTTTTAAATTAATGGAAAATCCAAATTAACCAAGTATGTTTAATTTAATTTGTTTTATTGTTAATTGCCAGCTATTAAAATTTCTTACCTGTTTGACTAAAAATCAGTTTTCTGATTAAAGTAAAAAAGATTTTAGTTTGTATACTTACCCTCCAAAACATCTTAGGGTTTGAGAAAATGTATGGATATTAATCTGTTCCCTTTAAAAAGTAAATCTCAAAGGTTCACTTAACCATATTTGGGCGAAAATATCCTAAAATATTGTCTCTTATTTCTGATGGACGATTATATTTTAACTGGTTTCCTTTTTTAAAATTTCCTTTATTTTCTAAAGTTCATTTATTATCTAAAGTTCATTATTTCATAAAGCTCATTTATGACAGCTGAAGAACGGACAGTGAGTAATAATGGAGGGACACATCTTACTGCTTTAGGCATACTGAATCAGTGATCCATTATTTTTAGCATGAGTGCATCTAATTCTGTAGGCATTACTGTTGATGGCTAAATAAAATTGGAATTCAGGGAGGTAGGTCAGTCCCTGGTAATGGGATTGACAGAGATCCTAAAGTAGGCAAATCCACTTTTCTTCCTTTCAGTACACCCTGGGGGTAGAAATAGGAGGAAAGGTAGAAGGGAGAAAAGGGAGAGTATGAGTGGAAATTCCCTGCCTCTTGAGAATTGATGGAGTTCCCACGAGGCTCTACACACTACTGCTGGAAATTTATAGGAAATATATGCCTAATTTCTACTTTGGGGGATGTCAACCAAAGGACATTTAGGATGACTTTGGCTCTGGAACAAATATAGGGACGCAGGACTGGTATTTCTACTGCTCTTAGAAATATAACCAAAAAGCTGGAGGCAGAAGTTTGGCTCAAGGTACGTATCTGGAAAGTGGAATTTCAAATCATGCCAGTGGACATTATTTCAATGGAAAATCCAGAGAGAAAAAGAGAGCAAGGATAGAATCCCAGATGCAGCTACAATTTCAAGAAGAGGAAAGCATTTTGAGAAACAAGTAGTTAGCATTTTCAGAAACTACCAAAAGGAAGTTTGGCTCATGTCTGTCGGACTTGGTGATTAAAGATCATGGGGGAACGCTGGCCCAAACACTCTCAGGAGAGAAGCAAGGCCACCTGAGGGCAGTTATTTGAGGCATGTGGGACATCCAGCACAACAGTGGGTATAGACTGCTCTTTCAAGAAGCTTCACTGTAAACAAAATGAAACAAAATGAAATTTATTGAAGATACGTTTTAAAAACAGTTCATGTATCAATTTTGAGGGTTATAATAAAATAGGCTACAGGGTTTTCCCCCCACCCTGGCATTGTCAGAGAATGCAGGAGTGAAATATAAATGAATTTTCCATTTAACAACTTACCCTCTCGGTAGCAAAACTGGGGGAAAAGCACTTTTAATGCAAGCTTTCTAAACTGTACTCTGCACCTTTGTCCTCTGCTGAGGAAATTTTGAAAGCTGGTTATTAAGTGTGTAGTAATAAAAATCTGTCTTATTTGTACTAATAAAAATTTGTGTTACTACAAATATTTAATTTTGCATCAGTAACACCTCCTCCCATTCTTAGTCAGAAACTCAGCTGTCATTTCTGCCTGCTTCTACTGGGACAGGGGCTGAATATGAAGTTAGCTGCTTCTGACCTTCAGAGAATCCATTTCAAAGAGTTAATTTTTACATGTTAACAATGAAATAATATGACTTCAAAGGTTGAAGGAGAGCTTGGAGAGAAGAAGAAAGTTTATTGACAACTTGCTATATGCTGTGTGGTTCTAGGAGCTTTTCATAGGAATTGGTTTACTATATGTATTGTCCGAACTTCTAAAGATGTCAAATTTTTTACACATTTTAGAGAAGCAAATTCTTCAGAAGATTTTTTTAGTGTTTTGGTTTAAAAATTGGTATAACAGAACCTATGTCTTTGATTAAATTAACTGAATGTGTAACAGTAGCTTTTTTGAATTTGGGAGTCAGTACAAAAGTGGCTGAAGAGTGCACACTACCTGGCCATGACCTCCGCCGCTGCCACACTCGAGACCAGGGAATTAATTGTGCCTCTGTTTTCCTCCTGTGAAACTAGAACTATAGTCATAGTGCCTTTTCAAAGATACTATGACTGTTAGAACTAAATAGGTTCAATCAATATTAACTGTTGCTGTTTTGATTAGTACCTAATCCAAATTAATTTTTATGGACTTTTCCCCCTGATTTTTCAGGAGTTATCTCCTACTTCAGATACAAACTTGGTACGATCTTTAATGAATCTAATAGACTGTTTTATGGATAACTTTGCTGATGAAGTCAAAGTAAAAGACAGAAATGATCGAGAAACTTACTCTTTACTTGAGGTAAAGTCAACCGTTCTTTGCATGTTACAACAGAAAGACATCTACTGCTTTCCCCGGGCTCTCTAGTTAATGTACCTCACTCCTCGCCTGCAATTGGAGGGTGAATGATGAGTGGGTAACTGAACAGCGAAGACTAAGTCAGGCCCCAAACACCAATGCTGATAGGGAAGTTCCTGGACTGGCAGTTCTGTTGCCTCATGAGGTTTGGGTGGAGTTTATGATCGCTTTAGATCTGCTACTGAAATCTTGTGAAATATGACTGGCCTCAGGAATGATCAGTCCCCAAAATGTCAATGACCATTTGACTGTGAGATTCACCTTCATTCAAACTCAAACTCTTAGTAATTCATTGTTTTTTCCTTGACTTTCTTTCCTTTCTCATGAGATATAAATGTTTAAAATATATATGTGTTTAAATTTATATTTGGATTGAAGAAAACAAGAAAATATATCATCCGTAAACTTATTTTCTAAATAAGAAAATTATCAACAGAACTTGAATACTCAATAAAATATTATATACTGCTAATGGTAACTTTTCCAATTGCTAATGGTAGTCAATATATTACTCTTCTTGCTTAAATTTTATGAAACAATTTTTAATTTAATTTTAAATGGTTGCCAGAGAGAAGTAGTGTCAGAGTAATCCACCTAAGTGAACAATGTCAGAGAGTCCACAACTTTCATGAGCATAATCAAGAATGTGTTTTAGTTTTTGCATTGAAAAGGAGATGTGATTTTAGCATAAACAAACAGGTTTTCTCAGTCAGTGGTGGGTCTTAGCATCTGCACTGTTTCCTCTGCCTGAGTCCAGTCAGAAGAAAGCTTGCATGACAGCAATTCTAGGTATTCAATCAATGCTGAGATAATTAGTACAACAGGTAAATAAAAGAATATGAATTTTTTTCAACTTTGTAACAAAACACTGTAATCAAAATTTAAATTTAAAAAAGAGCATGTTGTGGGCTAACTATTCTTATTAAAATGTGCCTTTATACTTTAATCAAAAGTTATCTCAATGTTCCTTTTAATATCAAGGTCCTGCCACATACCTAAAATAGCACATCATTTACCAAACTAGTCATTCTAAGTGTCACTATGGCTAGAATTTACACTTTGCACTGGATTATCATCTCTGATAGTAAGAATTTGTAAGACATGCAATTTGACAGAAAAATAAGACATTTTAAATAGTTGCCAGAGAGAAACAATTATTATAAAATACTGAGATAACCTACCATTATGCATATCCTTTCAAAGATATTAATCTTGCTGATTTTGATTTAAGCTTCAAAGATAGACTAAAGTTATTCTTTAATGCAGTCCATCTTCTCACCTCCCCAATGCAGGGCATTTTTCTGTTTTCATTAATCTGGTCCGTTGGTGCTTCCTGTAAAGATGATGACCGGTTGAAATTTAATGAGATTCTTCGAGAACTAATGGAAGGTCCAATTTCAGAACTAACTCGAAATAAGTTTAAATTACTGAGTGGTGATGGACAAACATCTTCAAAAGCATTAACAGTTCCATTTCCTGAAAAAGGAACAATTTATGATTATCAATTTGTCACTGAGGTAAGAGTTCTGAAGCAAGATTTGCAACTGTCAGCCAGGCAGAGTCCCCTTTGAGACACACAGCACATGATGGCTCTCTGGCCACCTTGTCACCACCATTTACTTTCAGAGATGCATGGAGTAGGGAAAGGTGCCCTGAAGCCAGACGTACCTGGGTTTGAGTTTTGGTAAACCCATTTTCTTTCTGTATAGCTTTGGATGAGTTATTTAATCTCCTTGAGTCTTGTTTTTCTCATTGATAAAATGAGATAAATTATAATACCTGATGGGCCAATTGTATTCATTAAATAAAATCACACATTATGACATCTAGTCCAACATTAGGCACATACTGTTCAAGGACACCTCTAGGAAATTGGTGGGGCATGTTAGCATCGCAGGCACTAAGGACTTCTGCAGGGAAGCAACTGGGTTAGTGTTAATTCAGCACTTGCCAAGTGGATTGAACAATAAAACCTGGGTGGTTTTGTTTACTTGTTTGTTTTTGTGGGACAGCTCCCGTAAGTACCATATTAAGGACAAAGTTTAGGAATACCTATTTTAATTCAAGTGAAGTTGGGATAACAACATATGCCTAATGAGTAGTTCTATGGCCTTCTTTTCCCTTAATTACGATACATCTTTGTATCTCATCAATGTTTCTTTAAGAATATTTTTCTAAAGCCTCTTTATTCTACCATCTGGATGGACCATGATGTATTCAGTTTCCAACTCTTGAGCATTGAACTGTTTTTGTTGTTTCTTAGTTTTTCTGATTTGCTGAATATACACAGTCATCGTGTACATATCTGATTATTTAAGTTCCTAGGAAAGGAATTACTGTATCAATTTTTAAATTTTTATGGCTTCTGAGATGTATTGGGATGCTTACCTCAAAAGAGATTCTTTACCCTGCCAACCATAAGATAGTATCTTTACAAACTTTACTTCAGATTACTAACAATATCTTGCATTTTTAGACCACTTTGTAGTTTGTTAAACTTTACTACAATCATTTCTGTTTTCTTTCTCAGTGTGTCAGTAAAATAGGAAAGATAGGATTATTTTACAAATTTTATCATTGAGGGAATTTGAGTTCAGGGATATTACAATTTTCCCAGGGCCACACAATCTCTAAATGACTGTCCATTCCAGGTTGTCTGATTCTTAATTTTTCCTTCCCCATACAGTGGCAAAAAAATACATGTTAAAAAACATTATCAAGATATGGAAAGGGTGTTATTTCTTAATCATTTCTAGAAAGTTCTAGAAATTTCTTTGCAATATAATTTCAGATTGATGTAATTCAGCCTCCTCAAAAAATCTCT